ACGTCATTAAGCTAAGCTCCATGTCCAACTTTTTGGTACGATATGCATATCAATTCTACTACCATGTGAGTGTATATGTGGTTTTAATAAATGTTGGGTTTCTATTCTACACCATGAGGCTGTTCTATTTGCCTTTCATGAGTTGAATGTTTATGGGAGTTGGATGCCTTTAGACCCCTGGCAAGGAGGGAGTTTCAGACACATGAGAAAGTGGCTCAGCTGAACCTGGGTGGGTGGATGAGGTCCAGTGGAGGCTGTTGAACCTTAGATGTGCATGACTTTGGAAATCCAAATTGACAAGCACTATTTGACCACACAATACATAGAAGGTCAATTTATTTTGGTAAGAGGCTCTGTGTCCTCACTAGTGGTGGATGGTGTGGAAGGATCTGGAGTCTCTTTCTGGCACATCACAATGTTCATGATTTATAGACTCTTCAGTGGGGACATTTTGAAAATTTAACATGACCACTAATTGGTCAGCTCTGAGTAGAGAGTGGTGACTGTCAGGCACTGCTCTCCACTCTGCCCATCCGGTGCTCACAGGAGTGACGGGCTGGGGAGTAGGTAGACGCAGCTGGCTGTCAGGGCTCCCAGGTATGACCAGAGATGTGTGACTGATGCAGGGAAACGCAGACTTCAGAAATGTGATAAACACTATAAATTTATTAACACTAACCATACAAACATAAACGCAGGGCAATACTAAACATAATACAGTGCAAACAAACCAAACCAACCACCCACAGATAACAGTACATACAAGCAAGCGTCGTCAGGCAGGCCGGGTCAATATCAATTGGGCAGGTAGGTACAGGGGGAGCAAGCAGAGAATGGTCGGGGTCACAGGCCAGGTTCAGCAGGTAGCAAGCAGCGAGGTACAGAGGGTCAGACAGAGGGGTGGTCAGGGTCACAAGCCAGGATCAGAGCAGGAGAAGTCAGCAGCAGTTCAGATCAGGGTCAGCAAAGGAACAGAAACAGGATGCAGGACAGATACAGGGCCCAGGACAAACACAACACCAAGGCAGAGTCTGCAAGTCTGGCCATCCCTTAAATACCCCAGTATCATCAGTTCCAGGTGTTAGCTGGCTGAAAGGTTGAGTCTCTGATTGCTGGGAGCACCCGCTGGCCAGCCCTGGTACTGCAGATCAAAAGGCAGGTGAGTCCCACCATTGCTGGCCAGTCCATTCCTAACAGTACCCCCCCTCAAGGAGCGGCCTCAGGACGCTCCAAACAGTCCTAGCTGGGCAAAATGTTCCACCGCCCGGGTCTGGCAACTGGCGGGATAGCAAAGACTGGCACACCGGGCAGGACTCCGGACAGCGGCACACCGGGCAGGACTCCGGGCAGCGGCACATCGAGCAGAGGCACTCCGGGCAGAGGCACATCGGGCAGGACTCCGGGCAGAGGCACATCGGGCAGGACTCCGGGCAGAGGCACACCGGGCAGAGGCACATCGGGCAGGACTCCGGGCAGAGGCACATCGGGCAGAGGCACATCGGGCAGGACTCCGGGCAGAGGCACATCGGATTACCAGGCGAAGCAGCAAGCAGCGGGCCCCCGGGCGGGGCGACAGGCAGCGGGCCCCCGGGCGGGGCGACAGGCACCGGGCCCCCGGGCGGAGCAGCAGGCACCGGGCCCCCGGGCGGGGCAGGGCAGGCACCGGGCCCCCGGGCGGGGCAGCAGGCACCGGGCCCCCGGGCGGGGGCAGCAGGCACCGGGCCCCCCCGGGCGGGGCAGCAGGCACCGGGCCCCCGGGGGGCAGCAGGTCTCGGGCCCCCAGGCGGAGCGGCGGGCGCCGGGCCCCCAGATGGAGCGACAGGTCTCGGGCCCTCAGGCGGAGCGGCGGGCACCGGACCCCCAGGGTGAGCGACAGGTCTCGGGCCCTCAGGCGGAGCGGCGGGCGCCGGACCCCCAGGTGGAGCGACAGGTCTCGGGCCCTCAGGCGGAGCGGCGGGCGCCGGACCCCCAGGAGGAGCGACAGGTCTCGGGCCCTCAGGCGGAGCGGCGGGCGCCGGACCCCCAGATGGAGCGACAGGTCTCGGGCCCTCAGGCGGAGCGGCGGGCGCCGGACCCCCAGGTGGAGCGACGACAGGTCTCGGGCCCTCAGGCGGAGCGGCGGGCGCTGGACCCCCAAGCGGAGCAACAGGTCTCAGGCCCCCAGGCGGAGCGGCGGGCACCGAGTCCACCAGGCACGACAGTGGGCTCCGAGTCAACTGGTATGACCGCAGGCACTGGTTCAGACATTGTTGGGTATGGTCTGGCTGGACAGCGGGCATCGGGTCACCAGGCATCAGGTCATTTGGCTCGACAGCGGGCACCGCGTCATCTGGCAAGGCAGTGGGCTCCGAGTCAACTGGTATGACCGCGGGCACTGGGTCAGACATTGGATCGTCTGACCGGACAGCGGGCATCGGGTCACCAGGCATCAGGTCATTTGGCTCGACCGCGGGCACCGCGTCATCTGGCAAGGCAGTGGGCTCCGAGTCAACTGGTATGACCGCAGGCACTGGGTCAGACATTGTATGGTCTGGCTGGACAGTGGGCATCGGGTCACCAGGCATCAGGTCATTTGGCTCGACAGCGGGCACCGCGTCATCTGGCAAGGCAGTGGGCTCCAAGTCAACTGGTATGACCGCGGGTACACTGGGTCAGACATTGGATCGTCTGACTGGACAGCGGGCACTGGGTCACCAGGCATCAGGTCATTTGGCTCGACAGCGGGCACCGCGTCATCCGGCAAGGCAGTGGGCTCCGAGTCAACTGGTATGACCGCGGGCACTGGGTCAGACATTGGATCGTCTGACTGGACAGCGGGCACTGGGTCACCAGGCATCAGGTCATTTGGCTCGACAGCGGGCACCGCGTCATCTGGCAAGGCAGTGGGCTCCGAGTCAACAGGCACGACAGTGAGCAACGGGGCATCAGGTACCGGATTGTCTGGCTCGACAGCGGGCATCGGGTCACCAGGTATGACAGCGGGCACTGGGTCACCAGGCATCAGGTCATTTGGCTTGTCAGCGGGCACCGCGTCATCTGGCAAGGCAGTGGGCACCGGGTCACCAGGCATTGGATTGTCTGGCTCGACAGCGGGCATCGGGTCACCAGGTATGACAGCGGGCACTGGGTCACCAGGCATCAGGTCATTTGGCTTGCCAGCGGGCACCGCGTCATCTGGCAAGGCAGTGGGCACCGGGTCACCAGATATGACAGCGGGCTCTGAGTCAATTGGCACGACAGCGGGCACTGGATCAGGTACCGGGATCATCTGGATCAACAGCGGGCATCGAGTCAACTGGCCTAATAGGATCGTCGGGCTGGATCAGTTCATCATGCTGAGTAGCGGCATCAGGCTGAATGCAGGCATCAGGCTGAGGAGAGGCATCCGGCTGAAGAGAGGCATCCGGCTGAAGAGAGGCATCCGGCTGAAGAGAGGCATCCGGCTGAAGAGAGGCATCCGGCTGAAGAGAGGCATCCGGCTGAAGAGAGGCATCCGGCTGAAGAGAGGCATCAGGCCGAGTAGAGGCTTCAGGCTGAGTAGAGGCTTCAGGCCGAGTCACGGAAGGCAGGCTCACCGGTTTGGATACTGGCAGGATGGTATTGGTTGGAAAGAATTTTCGCTTTTTTCTGGTTTTAACTACTGGAGCACTGCAAGTAAACGCAGGTCTGCAAACGAATGGAGCAGCTGGAGACAGAGAAAAACTGGAGGATGGAACAGGAGAGGGAGCAGTTGCTACAGAGGGCTCTTTTACAGGGTTAAAGGCAGGATAGGTGCAGCGAGTGGGAACAGGGTACTGACATGCGGTAGATAGCAGGGCAGGAGGAGCTGGTGGGAATACAGGAGTAGAGTTAGAAGCAGGACTGGGTCTTTGTAAGCTGACTGAGGCTGGGTGCAACAAATCTGTCCATGTCTGCAGTAGGGGTTGAACAAAGCTGAGCTTACACAAAGTCTGTCTGGTCAATGACTGCACTGCGTTGATACAATCTCTTAGTGTCTGTGGTGAACATGTGGAGTAACGCTCCAGAAAGTAACCCACATCATCCTCTAATAACCACACCAGGGACTCTACCTGGTCTGCACTAAATGGTGGCAAAAATTCATCCCTGCATTCGGGGGAACCAGATGAAACCAACTCTGCACAAACCTCAATCAATGGCTGCACCTCAGAGAACACTGTGCCCTGATCTACTAGAACATGAGCGAGCCGTATACATTCTAGCAATTCATCCCGGGTATACTCCTTCAGAGTTTGATAAGCATACTCCCTGTCATCAAACACTAGCAGATATAAATACTCAACCTCATCAAGATCCATCCTTCCCATCAACAAGCCAAGATGGCTTCCCTGTGCAGCCACTTCTGGTCAGGATTGGCCTTGGTGTAATGTCAGGGCTCCCAGGTATGACCAGAGATGTGTGACTGATGCAGGGAAACGCAGACTTCAGAAATGTGATAAACAATATAATTTATTAACACTAACCATACAAACATAAACGCAGGGCAATACTAAACATAATACAGTGCAAACAAACCAAACCAACCACCCACAGATAACAGTACATACAAGCAAGCGTCGTCAGGCAGGCCGGGTCAATATCAATTGGGCAGGTAGGTACAGGGGGAGCAAGCAGAGAATGGTCGGGGTCACAGGCCAGGTTCAGCAGGTAGCAAGCAGCGAGGTACAGAGGGTCAGACAGAGGGGTGGTCAGGGTCACAAGCCAGGATCAGAGCAGGAGAAGTCAGCAGCAGTTCAGATCAGGGTCAGCAAAGGAACAGAAACAGGATGCAGGACAGATACAGGGCCCAGGACAAACACAACACCAAGGCAGAGTCTGCAAGTCTGGCCATCCCTTAAATACCCCAGTATCATCAGTTCCAGGTGTTAGCTGGCTGAAAGGTTGAGTCTCTGATTGCTGGGAGCACCCGCTGGCCAGCCCTGGTACTGCAGATCAAAAGGCAGGTGAGTCCCACCATTGCTGGCCAGTCCATTCCTAACACTGGCATCAGCTCTTAGCTGAGTGTTGAGAGCCAAAGCAAGCTGTCAATCAGCCAGCTATGTTTATCCCCACAATATGGTCTGGATCCTTCCAGAGCCTGGAACAGCTCTGTGATGTCAGCCGACAGTGGGCTTTAGCCCACTGTCAGCTGAATCTGGATCTAAGGAAAGAACAAGTGTAGTTCTATGATCCTAAAAGCTTTGGTCATACTTCTCCTTTAACCACTTGTCTACCAGAGCCATGCTTTTATGTTATTGCACAGATTCACATTTTAGGCTTGAAGACTAGTAAAACCCCCTCCCAAATAGTATATATTTTCTGAAAGCAAAGACCATGGAGAAAAAAATAGTGGTTGTTGCAATTTTTTAAATCACAGAATAATAGCACGTGTTTAAGCAAACACAGATTTTCAGTAAATTATACACTAAAAATATTCCGTAGGTGTATGAAACCAAGCAACTTGGCATGCAGACTGCTTCTCCAAACATTGGTGAAAGAATGGGCCGCTCTCAGGAGTTCAGTGAATTACCGTGATAGGTTGCCACCTGTCCAATAAGTCCATCCGTAAAATTTTCTTGCAACTAAATATTCCCTGGTCAACTCTTAGTGGTATTATAACAAAGTGGAAGCAACTGGGAAAAGCAGCAACTCAGCTACGAAGTGGTAGATCACCTAAAATGACAAAGCAGGGTCAGCGCATGGCGAAGCGCACAGTGTGCAGAAGTCACCAACTGTCTGCAGAGTCAGTAGCTAAAGACCTCCAAACTTCCTGTGGTCTTCAGATTAGCACAACAACAGTGCATAGAGAGCTTCATGAAATGGGTTTCCATGGCCGAGCAACTGCATCCAATCACGCTTCTTTGTATGGCAATCCAATGAACGTGTCTGGGTTTGGCGGTTGCTAGGAGAACAGTACTTGCCTGACTGCATTGTGCCAAATGTAAAGTTTGTTGGAGGGGAAATTATGGTGTGGGGTTGCTTTTCAGGCATTGGACTTGGCCCCTAAGTTCCAATGAAGGGAACTCTTAAGGCGTCAGCATACCAAGACATTTTGGTCAATTTCATCCTCCCAACTTTGTGGGAACAGTTTGGGGATGGCCCTTTCTTTTTCAACCTGACTGCACACCAGTGCACAAAGCAAGGTCCATAAAGACATGGATGAGTGAGTTTGGGGTGGAGGAACTTGACTGGCCTGCACTGAGTTCAAACCTCAACCCGATAGAACACCTTTGGGATGAATTAGAGTGGAGACTGCGAGCCAAGCCTTCTCATCCGACATCAATGCCTCACTTCACAAATGCGCTTCTGGAAGAACGGTCAAACATTCCCATAGACACATTCCTAAACCTTGTGGACAGCCTTTAAAGCTGTTATAGCTGCAAAGGGTGGGCCACCTCAATACTGAACCATACGGACTAAGACTGGGATGCCATTAAAGTTCATGTGCGTGTAAAGGCAGGCACTTTTGGCAATATAGTGTAACTTTACAGGAGTATAACTCCAAATAAAAATCTCAAAACGCTGTCACTTGATGAAGGAAGAATCCTGTTAAGATTTTGCTATAACAAACGTCCCGCAGACTTGCCCACTTCAAAATATTTTTGCTGAGAAATGAACCTTTTGTGTTCTGCCTTAGTCTGTGACAAAGACCTATACAATTGCTGGGCACTCTTCCACCTGTGGTTGCTCACCCCCTTAGGGGGCCAGTGGATTTGAGAAGTCCCCCTTAGCTCTGCACGGCCAGGCAACACACATTTTCCACATCTTCACACACAGAGTCAGTAAAAACAGTCCTTGAGCTTGTTTGCCTTGTGTTTATTAGGGGTTAACAACTTGGATGGGGTCTAGGGGTATATACCTAGGGGATGCCCAAGAAACTGTAAAGCTTGAGGACAACTTCTTAGCAAACACTGTACAAAAATGTGGACCAAAAAGTCACAACTGTCTCTTTAAGGGGCACTGGTGTCCCCTTTGGTGTACCTCAGACCCCAGATGAATCCCTCCTCTTTCACCCAGCTGTCCTGAGTATATCCCTGGGCAAGGGATTACAAGATCTGCAATTAAGTAGTCCCAGTTGAGAACTAGCTGGGTATTGTACCTGACCGCCCTCTCCCTTCTATGGCTCAGGGGGTGTAGAAGTACTCACAATGTACTGTCCAGTTAGTTTGTTGGATTGCAGCTGCTTTCAGGCTTTACGCTGGGCTGGCTCCATCCCTGCCGACAGGAAGTCCTCCCTAGGAGACTTATGGCACAGTGGAGATATTTCCATCCAGCAACAGCCTGTTTGTAGACCCCACTTCCTGGGGCCCCCTCCGAGGCTCCACACTCCAGCTCCTTCTCTCAGTCCATCTTCCACCCGACCCCCTGCTGCACAGGTTCTGCCACATTTAAGGGTTGCTCTTAGCCACCATGCCTGGCCTCCTGCCTGAGTATTGGCCAAGTTCCCTTAAACATGCAAATCTGGGCCTCCTCCACCTCTCTACTAGAAAGTTCCATCAGTTTCTGGAAATGGTGGGATAGCTCCAAAAGCCCTGACCTGTAGAGCCTCCCAGCCTGTTCTGAGGTGACCTGTCTACCTCACTTCCAGGCTGACTCTTCCCAGGCTTCTAGAAAGCCTCTGACTCACAAAAATCCTATCTAGCTAAACTAGAGGGTTCTACACACCTATTAAGGTTTTCTGGGTTTAGGTCAACAGTATACATTTCCTCCAAATTGTTGATCTCTAGCAAAAACGCCTCATCCCCGTCTTTAGTGCTAAAGTGGAGCTACAGTCGTTTTTGTAAAAATTAAAAGTCAGCAGCTACAAAAACAACAGACACTTACCTGTCTTTGGTTCCAGCAGTGTGCTCACCCGTGGAGGCGCCGGGTACTGTATTCACTCCCAGGCGCCAGCATCTTAGCTGTGGGCACCCAGCTGTGATAGCTTGCAGCTTGACAGCTGGGCGCCCACTCTGCATGCACACTGTTGCTGTGCACTGTGATTGGTCCCGCAGTCTTCTTGGACCTGTGCTGTATTCCAGAAGAGTGCAGGAAGGGGGTAGGAGCATTTCTGCTCGGGTCACCAAGGCGATCCGAGCGGAAGTGGAACCGGGTACTTGTCATAATCAGGTACCAGCTTCCCCCTCCCATAAAGATTGCCAAATGTGAAAGAGGAGGCCCTAGGTTGAACCTATACAGGGTTAACTGATCTTGCAACCCATAGTGATCCGCGGGATCAGCTTCAGCGGTTTGCAGCCTGTAAGGGGTTAACGGTGGCAGCTCTGTGCTAAAGTCGGCGATCGGCTTCTTCGCCCTGAAACCG